ACACCACGACAGGGAACGACCAACGTGGTCCCGCATCGGCCAAGAGCATCAAGCACAGAAGTCTACTCTCCTTCACTTCGTCTACATCTCAGCTTAGAGAGTGGGGGACTCCTGATGGAGTATATGGGTCTAGGCCCCAGGACCCACATACTCAGAAGAACAGAAGGTACCACGATCACCGGGTGACCTCGTCGGACATGCTCTCATCGGCCATGCTCTCATCGGACATGCCCTCATCGGCCAGGAAAAGGTCTACTCAGAATATGATCCAGAAGCCCGGAGAACCGGGTGCCCTCATCGGCCATGCCCTCATCGGCCAGAAAGAAGGCCACCCAGAATATGATCCAGAAGCCCGGAGAACCGGGTGACCTCATCGGCCATGCCCTCATCGGCCAGAAAGAAGACCACCAGAATATGATCCAGAAGCCCGGAGAACCGAGTGACCTCATCGGCCATGAAAAGGTCTACTCAGAATATGATCCAGAAGCCCGGAGAACTGGGTGACCTCGTCGGCCATGCCCTCATCGGCCATGCCCTCATCGGCCATGCCCTCGTCGGCCATGCCCTCGTCGGCCACGGAAGTCTCACAGAACCGGATTTTACACTTATTCATTTGTATAGCCCACCAGTGGCTTTGTATTCGGCCCAATAGCGGTCCAGTTGTAGATGGGCCTCCCAAGCCCAAGACTTGGGAGCCCAGCCCGTATTTTCTCTATAAATACTCCCCTTGGGAGTAGTTGTAAGGGTGGAAAAAATTCATTAATACAATTCACTTCTCTCTCTAGCTCTCCCTTCTCTCTAGAATCTAGGAGTTAATACTCTATCAGTAATGTTCTTAATAAACTCCAAGAGAAGAGGATGGCCTGGATTTTCAAACAAATTCAAAAAGAGGCTGCAAGACTCAAAATGTTTTTTGAAAAAATCAAAATCTCTTTTCCCTAAGTCTTGTAGTAATTTCAAGGATACTCATTCTAGTTCTGGAAGTCAGTCACCAAGTTCTTTCATAGACAAGTCTGCTAAGTTTCCTTCTGATGGTTCTACTCATGTGAAAACTCATTTTAGTGCTTCTGTTAATGCAACCAAGCAGTCTAATTCTTTAAGTCATCTTTGTGATGTGAGTGATGGGGAATCTAATCAGAAAAGATTTAAAGCTTCTACCTATGATGTTTGTGATGATGTTCAACAGGAGTATCCCCTCAAGGTTTATTCATCTAAACATTTGAAACATCTATCAAAGGAGATAATCTTTACTTCTCAAAATCATATCCCATCATTCACTTACGCTGAAACTGTTATAGCTCAAAATGGATTCCTAAATCAGAATTACGGTCATATAGCTCTCCAAAAGCTTCAAAAGAGACAAGTTTAGGAACAAAAATAAAACAAAAATTTCACAATTTGTGTTATGCAAGAAAAGACGGACCCATCCTTGAATGGGTACCAAAGGTTTCTTAATTCTTTTGCAGGTGTCCCTCATGTGTGGTACCTGATATGTTTGCTCCACACACATGATGGGAAATCGAGATGCTGAGCAACCACAACTTGGCTTCTGTGTAAATAAGCTCAGAACTCGCACTACATCAGTGTTTCTGGATACATCAGTCCAGAACCCGATAGCACAGAAAGGCTTCTGAACAGCTCAATTCAGAACCCACACACAAACATAGGATGTCACATACGTCAAGGGGAAGCGATGAAGATATTTTTCTGAGCTTCCAAACAAGTTCAACAAAAGCTCTCAGCGCACCTATTCAAGACAAACCATTCACTAGGGGGAGCAAGTGTGCACATTCTAAAGGAGAGTACTGACGTGTATACTCCTCACTGAGCTGAAAATCAACAAATGCACACCTCAACACCGACACACGTGAAGAACAAATAGAAAGTGCATATTCTGAAAATCAACAAATGCACACCTCACCATATTCAGTTCTCCACAAAAGATTTCACACCAAATAGTCAAAAGACTACATTCTGAAGGAGATAGAGGTCGGATACTCAAGTACTGAATATGAATCCCTTATGCGTCTGAAACTATTCAAAGAACATTCACTCTAGAGGCGCCATCAGATTTCATTCAAGCTGATCAAGAGCAACTTCTGAAAGGCAAGAACTACATGCAAGATTTTGAAGATCCTTAAATCCCCCGACATCAAAGATCAAACTACCAAGAAGACAACAAAGGGGGGATGACAAGGAGTTCTTCAAGACAAAAGAAACTGATATCCTTTGAAGATCAAGACAAAGATAACCCGCGCTTCATTGCAAATTGAACACAAAGGGGGAGATTGTTAGAATATATTTTATTGTGTTCAATTTAATTAGATTTATCTTTGTTTAATTAGGATTTAATCAGTGAGCTTTGTAATTAATTAGGGGCCATTTAATTAGACCTATTCGGTCCATCCTAATGGAATAAGAGAGAGTTCCCAATTCCTAAATTGCCTCACGCATCATTATTGGAACTCCCACGTTAGAAAGAGAAAGTCTCTACACATTCTATTCCGCATATTATTCTTTGTAGAGCACGTAGAATAGAAATTCTCTCTCTAGCTTATTCGTTTGAGTACTGTGTAATTGTTTTTCATGAATTCATCATTCTATATACACGGTATATGTTATTGATGAGATTTTTCTTCTACTGTTATAATTCTTTCAATTATTATTAGACCGTTCAAATATGGGCGTAGTTCACACATATACAAATTTGTTGTTATCACTGACGCAAAAAATGTCATTATCTTTATACTCGGTCAAACTTATAAATCATTTGCGCACGGTTGGAGTATATTATTGTTACTTTTTGGAGTCATGAACATTTAAATAATAATCAAAGTGTGATCTGTATAAAAAAATGTGATGTTATGACGGTTTTTTTCATGTTATATACATATGGATCAAGTTTTGAATTTGAACTATAATTTACAACATAGTTTGGTGTACTGTCCAATAAATAAATGTGTTATGTAGTTTGTTGCGAATTACTTAAATGTCAAGCACAAAAGTACGGTTTATTTGTAAAATGCATAAACGTTTGCATTGTTTAAGGAACTAGTACGGTACCCGTGCGATGCACGGATACAAATTTTCTTTTATGATAAGTTGATTAGGAATAACAAAAAAATCAATGTGACCGTCTAGTAAAGGTGTAAACACATTTTCTTAAATAAAATGAAAAAAGAAATTACCAATTACCACATTTTCTTTTATTTTGGACTTAATCATACAGTTATATACTTGTGTTTACTTTGGACTTAATTTAATATATGACTTATTCACTTAGTCAATTTACTACTTATTCATTCAGCTTCAATTTCACACTCCTTACCGTTCAGACCAGGTGAATGCCTTCTTTAACCCTACCATCTTGCGACAAACAGCAGTCGGCTACAAACCTGCGCTACACACCTGCGAAAGTCGCCGACTTGAGCAACGAAGCTTTCACGAAACCAACGAAGAAGAACTTCAAGCCCTAACTTCTTCATCTCAGTATCCCTCTGATTTTACATCTTTTGTTCTAGTTTTTGTCCTTATCCTCGATCTGGCTGTTGACCTTCTAAACAATCTACTTCGTACTTCCCATAGATTAACCTTATGTTAATCTACTTTTGGGAGTTTTTTTTATTGATGTTGGTATATACAGTGAGTTTTTTGTCTTCTGAACATTGATTAGTGATTTTGATTATTTTTATCATTTTCCCCAATTTGAGGCAGATTTTATCTTTGTGACCATAGTGCTATTTTACCTCATTATGTGGAAGTAGAGTTTTATGCTTGATTTAGACCTTTTATAAACCTTTTAGGGACACATGCATCTGTTGAATTGCTAACATCTGTTTTCATTCTCTTATGCTTATCACTGGTTTGCCCCTTTCCAACACACTCAAAGCCATTGTTTGGTTCGAAACCTGATGGCATGATCTTAATCGATCTCCCTCAGACCCTCACCATTTTGAGTACCCATTTTATAACTCATTTCATTGAGTCCGCAAAAGGGACAAATATATCCTTGAATTATGAGTGTGAAAAATAATATACTCATGTTCTATTTATCGGAACAAATATCCTCCTGAAGTATACGTGGAAGTGAACATATACGCTTAAAATTTTAAAAAGCACAAAAATACACCTCATGTTCTTATAAAGGAGCAAATTTACCCTTATTGACTATATAAATTGATAAAATAAAGTGAAAAACACATTTTTAGTCCTTGAAATAATCACCATATTGAAATGTCAGACCCGTATTTTTGAGATTATAAATGTCACCCACTCACCCCTCAATTGTTCAAATTGCTGTAAATGTGGTCCTTCGAGCCTTCGAGCGGTGAAATGTACATCTCGCCCACATTGTACATTCACCCCTTAAAGAATCACCTTTAAAACAATTTAGATAATTGAGGGGTGACACTTACAAACCGGGGAACACGAGTCTAACATTTCAATATGGTGACTATTGCAGGGATCAAAAGTGTGATTTTCCCTAAAATAAATTTTAAAAAACACCAAAAAAATTATAAATTCAAAATTAAAAATATAAAATTTTAAAAATGTTCATGTGTTTAAAAAATTATTTGTTCCGAAAAATAAAAATGGGTATATTGTTCTCACATTCATACTACAAGGATATATTTGTACTTTTTCTCTTTTTTTATAGAATGAATGGTGTGTTTTAATGTTAAAGAAATTCTCTTGGGGAAAAAATGAGTGTACAAACGGAACTACGAAGCATCACCCTTTCCACAGTGTGACAGTGATGAGCTGGCAGCTGGCTTTAAGCTCGTAATAGAATTATATGCTACTCCACATCACACATGGCACTGTCCGTTGCTGTTGTGTAGTGGTTATCACGTTAGTTTTACACACTAAAGGTCCCCAGTTCAATCCTGGGCAGCAACAATATGCTTCATTCCTTTTTTGTTGTTTTTGACTTTTGAAACGTTACCATTATCCTTCCTACTCATATTGTTTTATTCTTGGTTGGCTAGCTTTTTGTTTAGCCATAATGAAACATTCTTTAACCAGGATTTTTTTCCTGAATCTGGAAAAACGGCCTCGCATAGGTACTATATAGTGTATATAGCATAAGTCGTAAGAGTTTGGAATCTTGTATAATATAACATACAAACATTATCAATATCACTTGCGTATTAATCCGAGTGAAAATCGATATACATTCTATAGGCACTTCTCTCAGCAGAATAATAGCCCTCAACAAGCGTATCCACACGGAAACCAAGTTTCTCGTATAGCTTCACTGCTGGAATTCTTGAGGGATCGACATGGAGAGACACGCGCTGCACATTTCTCCTTCTGCACTTTTGAATTGCTTCCTTAAGTAATGCTTCTCCAAAGCCTCCCCTCCTATACTTCTCTTTCACTGATGTTTGTTTCCATGCCATGCATATGAAAACAAATACACAAGGGTCACACCAAGTTTGTTTCTTTTTATATATCTAGTGCACAACTTTGAATTTAGTAAGGTAGGCCTATTGAAATCATGAATTGTAGCTATAATTTTATATTTAGTTGGTTTAACTGATCTTAGCATAGCTTGTTGGGGACACTCTTTTTTTTTTTGAAAAAATATTACAACTACTGAACTTAAAGGGACTCGCTTTTTTAAAAATATTTCTGGGACAGATCAATATTGGTGTTAAACTCGTCATTAAAGCCCACTACATTATTAAGCAAGTTATTGACTATGTCTTGAGGTTTGATAGTATTGAACAGCGAGGGGCCTAGGAGTAAGGGCTAGCTAGCTTATGTGTTTTATACTTTTATTAGAACCATAAAATAGATTCATAGTTCTATAGGATTACAGCCTGGAGAGTAGAGATGGCATTCCCTGATGATAGGATAAACTTTAAATTGCTAATCATGAAAACAACACTGATGCATTTAAGGTATGCCTGGATCGCAGATAATGCAAGAGAAAGGTGGAAAAGAATATAAAATGTTATTTTCTTGTGTTGAGTTTTACCAAAAATTGAAAAGAAAAATGAAATATGATGAGTGCTATAAACTTATATTTTTTTACATTTTTATTAGGTATCTAAGTGTGTGTGTATAATAGAAATAGATGACTAAAACGAGTTTAAACAAATGTACTGTATACAACAACAACATCCAAGTCTCATTACCAAAAGCTTTAAACAAATGTATACTCCTTATAAAAAAATACTTAGTAGGAAATTGGGGAAGATGTTCTGCATTCCCACATGGATCTTTTGGTTACTTTTGGTAATAGAAATAAAAGACCACCACACATGGATCTTAAATGTAAATCAAATGCTAACAAAACACTGATTATATACCAACCAGATGAAACCATTGTTCTATGAGGTTTCTGTTTCCATAAAGGGATATGTCTTATTTCCATGCATGGAGATGGCATCAAACGTTACACCATTAGAATTCGTACTTCACACTATAACAAATGAACCAAAGTGTGTTGTGTGTACCAATTTTTGGATTTAATTCGACCTTTCTCAAGAGTAATATGGCAAGAATTCTTATAGAGCTTCTATCCTTGAAAGAACATTCAGCCCCAACACACAAAGACAATCTAAAGAATGAATATATCATTTATTTCTCCCCAGTTTGGGTAAACCCGAAGAAAGAAAATCCAGAATTGTAACAATTAGGTTATGCAAAAATAGAGTCGAGCACAGCCAAACCTGCTAATTTGGTGATACAACCAAAAAGGGAAGAGGGACAAGCGTACATGACATATCCAGCAACTTCTCCCTCTCCATCCTCCATGTATAGCAGGCCGCCATTCCTCTTCCTAAGTTCTTCATCGAATGATTGGGCCAGAGATTCGTGTTTTGGGAAGACCCTTTTCTCTATTCTTACTATTTCGTCAACGACTTTACCCCATTTGGGTGAATTTCTCTGCAGTTCAACTATGGCTCCGGGAACAGCCGCCATGTTACCTTGCCAGTTGCCGGTTAGGGAGCCGGCTGCTGTGGAAATTTAACAGCTTTACCAAAGCCACTAGCCAGCGGTAGACATGGACCGGGCTCCGGGCCGGTTCAAGCCCAGCTTTTTTCAAGAACAGGTCGGGTCCGGGCCAAAGCCGGGACCTGGCTCGACCCGGTTCAATGTAATTATTCTGGCTTTGTAATTACCCCGACTCCACCCTCACCCCTACCCCCAAACCCCCCCCAAATTATTTGCACAAGGGTGCAAAAAGAAAAAAATGTGACTTTACTTGGACCGTAATTCGTCCCAGACCAGACCAGACCAGACTTGGATAGTTATAAAAATACAAAGAAACCAGACCAGACCAGTTCAGACCAAACCAGATCAGACCAGGCCAGACCAGACCAGACCAGATCAGCAAATTAAAGTCCAAGTAAAAACATCCTAAATGAGAGTGCTTATGGTTGCATCAAATAACACACTAAAGTTTTAGTCTTCCAGATTATTTGCTTCTTTTTGGAGGGAGATTGATAAGAGAGGAACACTATTGTTATACTCCATATGTTTTTGCCCATTTGTTCTGATTTTCTAATTTAGCTATGGAACTTTTATGTTATTAAAACTTTGTTCAAGGAAACCAGGTTTCATAAATTTATGGATTTTCTGCTCCATTGTGGTTTAAAATTGATCTGGACCCTTCATCTGTCGTTTATCCCTTTCTTTTCTCAATTCTATTTCAATTTCCTTCATCTTCTTTCCATGCTTTCCACTAAACTTTTCCCTTCTCTTCTTCGGTTGGTGCAAACCAGCGATCTCCATTTCCTTCCCCTTCTTTCTAGTTTCTTCCCATCGAATTTTTTCCTTCCGTCACTGTAAAGTATTTTCCACCGTTCTCCATTTTCGTCGCTGCAAGGGGCTCAAGGAATCACCTTCTGTGAGGTCTTCAAGCCTGAGAAGTAGATATTTGCTGGAGTGAAACATCGCCGCCACATGCCGGCGCTACCAACACGTTTGACGCTAGGGAATTAAACTGGCTTCAACAAATTCATTATTTACCTCAAAGCCGCCCATTTCCGCCCAAAGGTAATTATATGAATTTAGTCATTTTGCAGTCCAATTATATTTTCTTTAATTTCACTGATGATTAATCAAAATAACAGTTCTTCAAATTTTGATATGTGCAACCGTTTGTCAATCCAAATGACTTTCAATTCCTCAATTTGTTCATTCACATCAAGATTGGTGCCCAACAAATCAATCTCCACTGTAATTTCTTTCCAATTATTGTTTTGTTTGAAAATTTTATTTCAAAACTATCATACACATATTATTACGAGTGTAGTTTAAAGTTTAAACTGACAAAAAGAGTCACAAAGTTTTCCTCTCTCTTCTATATCTTTTTCACTTTTAGATTTATATATGTAACATCTCTCCTATATTTTGTTTCACACTTAAAATTCAGTTTCACACCTAACCATTTTCCTACTTCAAAATTTGGTCAATTGAGCATGAATTTTATTTCACAATGATCAATATATGTATTTAATCAAACGTCTTTACCTTTTTTAGCAGTAAAAATGGTTGTGAAAAAGAAAGTTGTCCTAAGTGGTTTTTAGAAAGCATATGTTGAGGTATTAGTGCCAAATACCTATAACCTATATGATTATTAGCATCACATATTCACATTTCATTCTTTGTAGCAAAACCTGTACTTTATGGGAATAGTTGAAGATGCCTTCACATTTTCAATGATTTTTAATTTAAACCAGTATAAGAAACATATATTTTATTTGATAGTGTGGATCCAACAGCTCATTAATCTGCCAACATTGAAGATGTTATTCATGAAGTTGCTCATGTTTTTTACTTTAATAAAACACCAGTTTCTAAATGGCTTAATTAGAGGCAAACTACTATAATTTTTGACGCAAGACATGTTCATTGTAGTATTAAACTTACCATAGCTTTGGCTTTGCAGACTATAAACTGATTCTCATAGAACAAACCTGTTTTGCATAGATGTGAAAAGAATGCCAAGGGTCTATAAACTAATTTGTTGTGATTCTGCTTAATTAGGCTATGCAGTTTTGTAGTACTAAATTACTTTCGCAATTGCTTCATACAGTTATGTAATTTAGTAATTTCTAAATTTTAGCAGTCTATAGATTCATGATTAGTTCTAACTTCTAGATGGATTCTTCAACTTATTCTCAGCTAATTCAGAATAAATATATCAACTTTTGTTCTTTTGTATTTTCTTCTCTTATTACGCTATTATTATTTAGAGCATACTAATGCCAAATCCAGTTTTTAGTTTGAAACATACTGCATTTTTTCTTTCTTGTTGTATTTCATGTCTTTTTAACCCCAATTGCTTGCCTCCGGGTGTATGTGTGTCTATGTGTGGGGTGTCTTTAGAGCTATGCCACTGTTGTTTTCATGCTCTTTAAATGCATAATTTAAGTTACTTTTATTTGGTCATTAGTTTTCTGACAAATAAGATGAAGCCTAGGAATTTGAAATTGATTATGTTAAAGTTCAGTAGTTCACCCTCCAACTTTATAGAATTTAAAGTTCTCTAAATTCTGATCCCAACTCTTTTACAATCTTCTTGCCCTAACATTTCAAAACACAATAATGACCTAAGAAAAAATGCAGTTTCCCTTTAATTCTCTATCTCGCCTCTTGGACTAAAAATTATTTGCACAATGGTGAAAAAAGAAAAAAATGTGACTTTTTTTGTCTTCTTAGCTGATTTTTTTTTTTCAATAAATGAGAGTGCTTATGGCTGCATCAAATAACACACAAAAGTTTTAGTCTTCCAGATTATTTGCTTTTTTTTTGGAGGGAGATTGATAAATGATGATAACAGAGGAACACTATTGTTATACTCCCTCTGGTCCTTAATTAACTTTACATTTTCCTTTTTAGGTCGTCCCATACTAAACTCTACACTTCCTTATTTGCCTTATTTGGCAAACAAATCTACACCAAACAATGCAAAACAGTGTCAAACAGTGTACTTTACAGTAAAGTCAAGGATATAAGAATGATCCAATTAGTCCATGTGTTTTCATTCGGCGATTAAATTCGGGATTCACCATAATTGCAGTATATGTTGATGACTTAAATATTATTGGAACTCCCGATGAGATTGAAAATACTGCAAAATATCTTATGAAAGAATTTGAAATGAAAGATCTCGGGAGAACCAAATTTTGTCTCGGACTTCAAATTGAGCATTTGAAGAATGAAATTTTTATCCACCAATCCGATTACACCGACAAAGTTTTGAAGAGATTCTATATGGACAAAGCTCATCCGTTGACTTAACCAATGGTGATTAGATCTCTCAATATACACGATGATCCATTACATCCCCGAGAAGAAGACGAAGAAATACTTGGTCCTGAAGTACCATATCTGAGTGCTATTGGAGCTTTAATGTATTTAGCTAATAATACTAGACCAGATATTGCATTTTCTGTAAATTTATTAGCTAGGTACAGTTCATGCCCACAAGATGTCATTGGAACGGGATCAAGCACATATTCCGTTATCTACGTGGTACAGTTGATCTCGGCTTATTCTACCACAAAGATGCAAAAGCTGCTTTAATCGGATATGCAGACGCTGGATACTTATCAGATCATCAAAAGGCGAAATCACAAACCGGGTACGTATTTACTTATGGTAACACCGCAATCTCATGGAGATCTATGAAGCAGACATTGACAGCTACATCATCAAATCATTCGGAGTTAATTGCATTATATGAAACCGGAAGAGAATGTGTGTGGATGTGGTCTATGATTCAACACATCCAAAATGAATGCAATATGAAGCCTATTACTTGTCACCCGACTGTGATCTACGAAGACAACACTGCGTGCAAAGCTCAGATTAAAGAAGGCTACATCAAAGGAGACAGAACGAAACACATATCACCAAAGGTCTTCTCTACTCATGATCTGGAGAAAGAAGGGACAATCAACATTCAACAAATCAGATCCAGTGAAAATCCGGCTGATCTCTTCACCAAATCTTTACCCCCAAAGAAGTTCATAGAACTTGTACAGAAAATCGGCATGCGTCGCCTTCAAAATTTAGCCTAAGTTCAGGGGGAGTATTTGAATGCACTGCACTCTTTTTTTCTTCATCAGTTTTTTATTCCACTGGGTTTTTCCTGATAAGGTTTTTAACGAGACAGTACATCCAAATACAACGACATTATAAGTCGTAATCTCTACCCCTTAATTTTCACACACGTTATCTCAATAAGTTTTTAAAATTACAAATACATATTCAAGGATGAACATTCAAGGGGAGTGTTGTAAAACCACCAAATTGACAAGTGTGAATATTCATCCTTGTAATCAGGACACTAAGCAAACACAAATCCTTGTAATAACACACATGGCTAGATTCAATACTGCCAACAAATTATGTAGAATCATTCCTAGATGATTCATCCCTAAGCTTGGCTAGTATAAATAGGACTTGTTTCATTCATTGTAAACTTACTCACAAACTCAGAAATTCGAAAAACTTCAAATATTAAGAAGAAGTAATTGAGAGAGTTTTATCTATATATATTCATCTCTTAAATCTAGTCTGTATTTTTTTCATTTCACAATAGGAAGAAGTATATTCTGCAAAACTTTTCATTTATCCTGTGGTTGAGTCTTGGCCTTTTGGGATCGGAATAGGCTTGTTACGTGTGATAACTCTTTGTATGTTGACTTAAACAGAACCGGTTGCTTTTGTAAGATGAAATGTAAAACACAAATGTAGAAAATAAAAACACAAAGAGTTAATTATCAAAATAGGACTAAATGTCATTCACTTTTCACAAATAGGACCAAAAAATAAATTATGTTTGCATATGACTAATTATGTGTACCTTGGACAATTATACCCTTATAGCTATTAAAATGTTTTAATTCCTAATAAAATAATAAAAAATAATAAAAATTCGTAAAAAATACTAAAAAATTAAGAAAAACATTTCGATATTAAAAATTTAATTAATTTTTTTTTTCAAAAAATTAAAAAAAATAAAAATAAATAAAAATAAAATAAA